CCCCCACTAGAGTCGGACACGACTGGACTGAAAATGTCAAGGGGAACCTTTACCTTTGTATGTATGCTCTGCTTCCATACATTCCCACACATCCAATAACATGCCAGTGCAACTATTTAATAAGAATTCTGAATTATGTTAAATTTGTACCACCAATCCTGATAAAGCAAGACTCCCAGTTGCAGGGGTTCTGTAGGCACGTTCAAATGGATGAGTTTACAGAACCCTCTTCAGATCTTTGTTCTTCAACCACTTGCTGTTCAAGAGACATAACATATTTTCAAAACAATAAGCTGAGGCACCAACTTTCATAACCTCATCCCTTTGCACAGAGCAGCAGTTTGTGAGACAGAATAACATGTGTGGCAGCCACTACACAGGCTTTCAAGTGGGGAAGAGAAGGCTACCCTCCTTGAGTCTTCAAGGCGCATGTCACCTGATCTTAGGAACTGCTGCCACAGCACAGGAGAAAGAACTGGTGGACAAGAGATGCTATTCTGGAATAGAAGAGAGTGCCTTGACAGCTGCTGTTGCTAGAGACTTTAAGGAAGAGATCTATCAGGAAAGCTATAGTAGTGGGTTTGCTACACAGCCAGAATGTTGGAGCAGATTACATCTCAGCTCTATGATGCTGATGATTCACAAAGTAAGGCTGCATGTTCTTGCTGCCCCTGTGCTGACCATGTGTCATGGCATATACTCTCTTACTAGCTTATTATAGACAAGGGGCAGGCAATGTGTGACCTTCCACTTGTTGCTAGACTGCAGTTCTCACCATTAGCTTCAGGAGCACAGACTGATGGGCACTGCAGTCCAACAACATCTAGTAGACCTTACCATTAGCTTCAGGAGCAGAGATTGATGGGCACTGCAGTCCAACAACATCTAGAGGGCTGTGCTCTACTCACCTCACTTGCAAAAAGACGTTCAAAATGCCAAGAAAGAGTAACATCTGGTGCGGATGGGTGGGTGGATGGGATTGATGGATGGCCTGGCAGGCCAACCACTGTGCGTGTGAGAGTAAAACTCTTTCAGACAGTTTATATACAGTAGTACCTCGGTTTACGAAAGTAATGTGTTAACGGGACATTAAAGCAGTGGGTGGATGCGACTGATGGATGGCCTGGCAGGCCAGCCACTGTGCGCTTATATACAGTAGTACCTCGGTTTAGGAAAGTAATGTGTTAACGGGACATTAAAGCGAAAAATTCGTAAACCGAAATGTGGACTGCCATAGGAATGGGGGCGGCGCTCTAAACCTCCAGGCACAATGCATCCTGGGGAATGAGATTTTTGGTTCGTAAACCGAAAATTACATTAACCGAGGCGTTGTAAACTGAAGTACGCCTGTATGTTGGAAATATCTTATGCCAGAGATGGATAACCGGATACCATCCAAATGTTGTGGACTACAGTCTTCATAAACCCAAGGCAGCATGGCCAGGAATCTAGGATTTGGCGAATTATACTCCAAAATATCTGGAGGGCACCAAGCTGCCTTTTCTGCTCTGATGTTATGCCAAGTACATTATCCTACTCCCTGCCATCCCAGACTATGGAATGTACCATCTTTATGTCATAGGATCTATGCTAAGAAAGAGGGAGGAAAGATCCCCTTTCCACCCCAAGCACATCACCTATCTTTAGGCATAAAGTTTACTGAAAGGTGGAAACAATAATTCAGAAGTGCTTGCTCACATCTAACTGTGAGATGGGTAAATTCTAGGAATGGTCACAGGGGAATCATACTGCATAACCGTAAAACACAGGCAACAAAGGAGGGGTATCTTTGGGATTAACAAGATCACAGATGCACTGGTAAAGAGCCTCTGTATTTATAGATGTGTTTAGGGCAACTCTGTAGCCCTTCACTAGGTTCTCAGAGATAAAAGACAAAGGACATGTATCCAAATTAAATATCATCTCAATGCAATAGGCTAACATTACATCAAGACCAAGGCCACTGACTAATAATGAATAACACAGTTCCTTGGGGCGGGGGAAGAAAAATGGGCAGAATTCACTTAATGGTGCTCTCTTTAGCAGTTTATTCTCCTTGACACATGCGCATGCTATAGGTTAGAAGTATTATTGCTAAGGGTTCAGAGTCACTGACCTAGTTTTCTAGGCATCTGCATCAGTGCACAAATTAAAGGTTCAGAGATAGAAAGAGAACAAGGGCTGCTTTTAGCATGTATGGTCTGTGAGATGAGGAAGGTCTCACATGCTGGAGAGATTGGTATGAAAGGAAGATGGCCTGGCCTGGTTAGGAAAAGGTTTATTTCTTTAAACTACATTGTGGACTAGCTGGGCAAAAGGAATAAACAGATGTGCCTTTGGGGAGCTGGGATCAGAATCCAGTAAGCAGAGGTAGTATAACCTCTGCCAATTTTGAGTGCACGAACACCCTTTCGTACAAAAATATTTCCTGGACATCAAAGGTTGGTTGATAAGCAAAAGGCTATGCTAGACGCATAAACTATGTATATCTCCTTAAACAGCCTCTTTTCTACATGCAGGGAAGGTTATTTGTACTGTATCAAAGAACGTTTCATTATCCCAGCCTCTACTTGCACTATGACACAGCCTAGGCCCAGATTTTACTGCCCGAAGGGAGACCAGGGAGAAGCTCATTTCAAACTGGTAAAAGAAAGCAGGAACCCATGGAAGCGTCTGGTTGACCAATAGGCCAGCAGGAATAACTGACAAGAAAGCCAGGCAAATCTTAGAACTGCAAAATTGGAAGGGACCTTATGGATTATCAGGCCCAGCTCCATCAAGGGGGCAGAGTAGGGAATTGCACTCCCAACCTCTGGCTCTACAACCAGAAGCCTAGGACACCGAGCTAGCCAGCATGTGTGCTACCTTGCATATCAGAACAAGAAAGGCCTCCTGGGAGCTACTCTTCCATCAATAAATCCTCGAATCCACATCATAATAAGCCCCACAGATCAAATTCAATGCATGGGTACAATCCTCTAAGAATTCATCTCTCTCAGCTTCTGGACACTGCAGCTCACACGGCCTTCATATTTTTCAAGTACTGTACATAATGCCATGTTCTATCCAGATTCACTGCTAAAATAAACCTTCTAGGATTACAAAGGGGGCTAAAAGATCCCTATATTCTCTTGGGGCATGCATGTGAGTTATTGAAACAAAGTCTACAGTAGGATGGTGGTAGTAAAATAAAATACACATATCTCTCTTTGTATGGAAATCTAAGTTTCTATTAACCAGGAAAGCAAATTTCCCTTCCAAAATTATGAAGTCAACAAGAAAAAGACAATGATACAAAATACAGATACAGTATATAAATTACTTTTATCTTTGTTGTTGCCCTTAACGTTTTTTGTACCAGGCAAAACATTATTTTCTAATTTAGCTGAATAAGTCTGCAGGTTTTGTAGCATTATATCACAGTTAATTGAAGGACTGAATTCAATAAGAGCAAGCACACTATTCAGAATGCCAGCATTTAATACTGGGGTAGGAAAAAAGGGAGGGGGAATACTGATATATGCAAAATTTAGAACTAGTAAAAAGCACACAAACACACAACCTCTTCTGAAGCAAAACTTGTTTGCTAGAGCATATGTATGAAAAGAGTAAGAGACAGAGAGCATGTGTGCATGAGAAGGCAGAAAATTGAGCCATCAAAAAGCAGCAGCCTTTGACTCAGCTTGCTTCCCCCTCCCTGCAGACTCCTCCCTTCCTCAGACTTATTTTTCTGCGCCACAAACACAAAATGGAGTCTAGAGGAAAGACAAATATCCTTTCTAAAATGGCTGAATGCGGCAAAAGGAGACAAGGAATAGTAAAATAAGGCAACAGCACCATCTGGTGCTTGGAAAGTCCATATCTCTAGAAAATTTGTCTTTTTGCACTTATGAAGCAATGAGACTGAATGTGTTAGAAAATGTAGAATGCTATGGAACAAGAACATCATGGTGAGCAGCAGCAGCAACAACAATAATTATAAATGTGTGGAATTCCTTCTTTATAAAACTTCAATATGTCTAATATCAAGATCAAAGTTATATGCATATTTACAAGGTTTCTGAAGAAGAGGAGAGCCTTCCATTTTCTCTGCAGACAACCAGTTTATACTAGGAAACAACCCAATAAGCATACGAAGGTGCCATGTAATAACTCAGACCAATAGTCCATCCAGCAAGGATCAAAAGCTGATG